CCACTCAGACACTAACAGTCACATAGACACTAACAACCACTCAGACAATAACAGTCACATAGACACTAACAGCCACTCAGACACTAACAGTCACATAGACACTAACAACCACTCAGACACTAACAGTCACTCAGACACTTATAGTCACATAGACACTAACAGCCACTCAGACACTAACAGTCACATAGACACTAACAACCACTCAGACAATAACAGTCACTCAGACACTAACAGTCACATAGACACTAACAGCCACTCAGACACTAACAGTCACATAGACACTAACAACCACTCAGACAATAACAGCCACTCAGACACTAACAGCCACTCAGACACTAACAGTCACTCAGACACTTGTAGTCACATAGACACTAACAGCCACTCAGACAATAACAGTCACTCAGACTCTGACAGTCACATAGACACAAACAGTCACCTCCCTACCTGTAACTCGGGCACTAATAGTCACTCAGATACTAACAGTCACATAGACACTAACAACCACTCAGACACTAACAGTCACATAGACACTAACAACCACTCAGACACTAACAGTCACATAGACACTAACAACCACTAAGACACTAACAGTCACATAGACACTAACAACCACTCAGACACTAACAGTCACTCAGACACTTATAGTCACATAGACACTAACAGCCACTCAGACACTAACAGTCACATAGACACTAACAACCACTCAGACAATAACAGTCACTCAGGCATTAACAACTACTCAGACACTAACAGCCACTCAGACTCTGACAGTCACATAGACACAAACAGTCACATAGACTCTGACAGTCAGTCAGAAAGCCAGGAAGGTTTTCTTCTGCTCCCATTAGCTCCACAGAGCTAACGCAAGTTGCAGACGCGCTAAGTCTCTGGACGAATCTGGAGTTTTATTCCCTGGCAATGACTGAAATTTTGTGCATGGTAAGGAGGAGAGGTTTGAAACATCTGTTTTTTCATATACCCCCAAAGAAAACATGCAGAAACAATACATAACCCTATATACTCCGTATTCATACCCATGAACAAACATAACCATACCTACCCCCTATCCATACGCCTTTAGATAACCCTCTGTACCCCCTATTCATACGCCCTTTAGATAACCCTCTGCACCCCCTTTAGATAACCCTCTGTACCCCCTGTCCATACCCCCTTTAGATAACCCTCTGTACCCCCTATCAATAACCTCTTTAGATAACCCTCTGTACCCCCTATCAATACACCCTTTAGATAGCCCTCTGTATCCCCTATCAATAACCTCTTTAGATAACCCCCTGTACCCCCTATCCATATCCCGTTTAGATAACCCTCTGTACCCCCTATCCGTTTAGATAACCCTCTGTACCCTCTTTAGATAACCCTCTGTACCCCCTATCCATACGCCCTTTAGATAACCCACTGCACCCCCTATCAATACCCTCTTTAGATAACCCTCTGTACCCCCTATCCATAACCCCTTTAGATAACCCTCTGTATCCCTATCCATACCCCATTTAGATAACCCTATGCCCTATCCATACCCCTTTAGATACCCTCTGTACCCCCTATGCATACCCCTTTAGATAACCCTCTGTACCCCCTGTCTATACCCCCTTTAGATAACCCTCTGTACCCCCTGTCCATACCCCCTTTAGATAATCCTCTGTATCCCCTATCAATAACCTCTTTAGATAACCCTCTGTACCCCCTATCCATACACCCTTTAGATAGCCCTCTGTATCCCCTATCAATAACCTCTTTAGATAACCCTCTGTACCCCCTATCCATATCCCCTTTAGATAACCCTCTGTACCCCCTATCCATACCCTCTTTAGATAACCCTCTGTACCCCCTATCCATATGCCCTTTAGATAACCCACTGCACCCCCTATCAATACCCTCTTTAGATAACCCTCTGTACCCCCTATCCATACCCCCTTTAGATAACCCTCTGTACCCCCTATCCATACCCCCTTTAGATAACCCTCTGTACCCCATATCCATACCCCCTTTAGATAACCCTATGTACCCCCATCAATACCCTCTTTAGATAACCCTCTGTACCCCCTATCCGTAACCCCTTTTGATAACCCTCTGTATCCCCTATCCATACGCCCTTTAGATAACCCTCTGTATCCCCATATCCATACCCCTTTAGATAACCATATGTACCCCCATCCATACGCCCTTTAGATAACCCTACCCCTATCCATACGCCCTTTAGATAACCCTCTGTACCCCCTATCCATACCCTCTTTAGATAACCCTCTGACCGAAGATCACTGCCTCTAAACTCTGCAAAGCATAAATTGAGGATTGCCCCTCATCACCTGCAATCACCACTCGATTTGCACTAAGAGATATCTGAAGTCCCACTGGGACTCCTAATAGCCCAGAGCATGGCAAACATGCCACAGGTTGCTGACCCCTGAACTATGTATCCCCTATACTTAACCCTAAACATAAAACAATGTATCTCTTACCCTTAACCCTAAACATAACTCTACATTCTACCCGTACCCTTAAACATGAACCTACCTACTCCCCTCCATACCCCTATACAAAGCCCTATATTCCATAAATATTATACGTTTTGCTCACGGTCCACATCCATAACTACAGTTGTGCTCAAAAGGAGAATTGGTAATATTTTTCCAATTTTTAGAAAAAACATGAGTGAGCAGGCAAAAAACATTTCTTTTATTTCTTATGGGATTCATATTCAACTGTAGGCTATAACAGAATGGCACAATCATAAAACAAAACATGGAAACAAAGAAAAAAATGAAATGACCGCTGTTCAAAAGGCTATATAGTTCTTAATGCTGTGTATTGCCCCCTTCAGCATCAATGATGGCGTGCAGTCTTTTGTAATAGTTGTCTATGAGGCCCCTAATTCTTGCAGGTGGTATAGTTGCTTATTCGTCTTGGCAAAATGCCTCCATGTCATGCAAAGTCTTTGGTCATCTTGCATGAACCGCACATTTGACATCTCCCCAGAGTGGCTTGATGATATTTAGGTCAGGAGACTGTGATGACCACTCCAGAACCTTCACCTTTTTCGGCTGTAACCACTGGAGGGTCAACTTGGCCTTGTGCTTAGGTTTATTGTCATGCTGGAAAGTCCAAGAGTTTCCCATGCGCAGCCTTCGTGCAGAAGAATGCAATTTGTCTGCCAGTATTTTCAGATAACATGCTGCATTCATCTTGCCTTTAATTTTCATAAGATTCCCTGTGCCTTTAGAGCTCACACACACCCAAAACATCAGAGAGACACCACCATGCTTCACAGTGGGGATGGTATTTTTTTCACTATAGGCCTTTTTGACCCCTCTCGAAACATAACGCTTATAGTTGTGAACATAAAGCGCTATTTTGGTCTTGTCACTCCAAATTACAGTGTGCCAGAAGGTGTGAGGCGTGTCAATGTGTTTTCAGGCATATTGCAACCGTGGCATTGGCGCAGTAAAGGCTTTTTTGGGGCAACTCGACCATGCAGCTCATTTTTGTTCAAGTATCGTCATATTGTGCTCCTTAAAACAACTACACCGTCTTTTTCCAGAGCAGCCTGTATTTCTCCTAAAGTTACCTGTGAGTTTTTCATTGTATTCTAAACAATTCTTCTGGCAGTTGTGGCTAAAATCCTTCTTGGTCTACTTGACCATGACTTGGTATCAGGAGATCCCCGAATTTTCCCACTTCTTAATAAGTGATTGGACAGTACTGACTGGTATTTTCAAGGCTTTGAATATCTTTTTATATCCTTTTCCATCTTTATAAAGTTCCATTACCTTGTCTTTTGACAGTTCTTTTCTGCTCTCCAAGGCTAGGTATCTAGCCTGCTCAGTGCATCCATGTGAGAGCTAACAAACCCATTGACTATTTATACATAGACACAAATTGTAATTTAAGAAGCCCCAGGTGTGGGAAATTAACATTTAATTGTGTGTTTGTAACAAGGCCAAACATTCAAGGGTATGTAAACTTTTGATCAGGGCCATTTGGGTGATTTCTGTTATCACTGTGATTTAAAAAGGAGCAAACCACTATGTGATAATAAATGGCTTCATATAATCACTATCCTTCAGTAAACTACAAATATTTTGCATGATCAGTCATTATTTTAAAATAAATGCCAAAAATGCCAAAAACCCTCCCTTCAAACATGACCCTATGCACCCTTTAAATAAGCTTGTGTATCCATACCCCAAAATATAACTTATCTACCTCTGAGCCATATCCTTAAGCATAACCATCTAAACCCCTTATCCGTACCCCTAAACTGAACACATCCTCCCCCCAAAATTTTACCCAATGTACTCTCTCTCCATATCCATAAAAATAACCCTATGCTCCCACAAACCCTTATGTACTTAACATAATCGAATATGTTACCTAAACATAACCTTACTTCTCTGTCTCAGACTTCAGTCTCACACACACAGCATGCTGTCTTTTGCTCTTTATTTCGGTATATATTCCTCTCAGTCTCTTTCTTTCTCGTTCTGTCATTCTCCCACCCTTGCTCTCTCACTTGTCCCCATTCCCGAATCACGTTTATTTGATTGCTCTCTCTCCTTTTCCCACCTTGCCCATTTATGTAATTCTTTCACAGATTTTCAAGCATTAACCTAAAAGAACTTTTCAAATTAAACACAGAATATTAATGATTAATTGCAACACAGATTTGAAGATAAGAGAGCAAAGCATAGCTGAGACAAACTAGTGGCAGGAGAACACTATCAAGCGCATGTTAAGAGAAAACATTAGCAATCGAAGGAAACAATTACGTCACAAATAAGATAAATAGGTACACAAAGCTTTAGAAAGAATTTCTTTAAAATACCCAATTCATGGGAGAGTGCAGCGAGATAAGTGTATAAAAAGAAAGGAATGCTATTAGTTCGAGGCAGGGCAAATGGAGAGAAATGAGAATAGCAGACAGAATACAGCTAGGACTGTAGGCTGCGGGAAAACGGTAGAGAAAAAGTTCAGTTAGAGACATGAGTTTTTCACAGTGGATATATTCCGTCTTTCATCCCGAGAGACCAACATTATCAAACCTCCATCTGATGAGTGAGAGCCAACCTCTGAGGGGTTTGCAGACCCCTTGCTCTGTGATACTGACTGGTGCTGTATCCATCGGCGATGAAAGAATTGAGGAAACCTTCAAAAAGATGGTCTCTCACATTGGCGGAATAGATAATATTTTGCTGATAGGAGCTTCCGGTTATGGTACAGAAAATGATGGTGGTAGAAGTGGGATACTCCAGGAACTGTCATTCATCCTGTTTCAGTCTACAGAAAAGAACCCGTCCAGGCCAAAAGATGAAAGGAATGAAGATAATGCAGGAAGGAGCTGCTTGCAATCTTGTGTCACATCCAAATCCAGAATATTTGAGTTTCCCGTCATTTTGACAGTTTTTCGGGAAACAATGATAATGAACCCTGCTAACACTACCCTCATTATAGAGATGTTGAGAGATATCAAGCTTCGGGTCAAAGGTTCTAAAAAAGCCTTGGTGGGAATAATCTACAGCCAGGAACAACGGGGAGAGACCAACATGGAGAGTCAAAGTCGCCTTAGGAGTCTTTTGGGAAAAGTATTCAAGAAACTGCAATGGGGGGTCTGCTTTTATTGTCAATCCCAGCCTGAGACCATTTTAGAGGTAAAGAGGACTATCAAAGAAACATTGGAAATACCAACCAGAGGCAAGTGGTTATCTTTATTTTCTCTACAGGAAATAATTTGCACTTCTTTATCTCTTTCTACCTTATTATATCTTATTTTAACACTATATATTGTCATATATTCAATAAATATCTACGTATTGTCATATATGCTCTATACCTCGTTATAAATTATCTATCTGTACTTCATTATATCTCTTCTGTATCTCTATATCATGTAATACCTCCTGTATACTTTATTATATTTATTATTATTATTATATGTTAAATTCATATCTCTCTATATCGCATATTTCCTCTAACTCTCTATAGCATGTAATATCTCCTGTATACTTCATTATATTTATTATTATATGTTAAATTCATATCTGATATCTCTCTATATCGCACATTTCCTCTAGCTCTCTATAGCATGTAATATCTCCTGTATACTTCATTATATTTATTACTATATGTTAATTTCATATCCTTCTATATCGCGCATTTCCTCTAACTCTCTATGGCATGTAGCTTTAGAGAGCAGCTTTGTAAAACTTACTGACAAACAATTCTCTCTAAACGGCAAACAATGGCGATCAGTATCCCACCTCTAGTGAGAGAAATAAACTGTAAAGTGTATAAACTAAATTATATATTGTCTTTCTCCCAAAGACATATTTGACTAAGGTCACAATCCAAATTTAACAAACCATTGTTCTGCCGGTAATGCCATCAAATCAGAAAACATGATTAGCCTAAAACTGGGTTTGAACTCTGATTAAATCATCAATCTTGTGATTTTGAGGTCAATAGCAAAATATCGGAAGATTACGGTAACTAAAAAAAAATCACAGTTTGAAACCAGGTGCATTGATAATACTAATCGGTAATGGGTGTTTAATTATCACATGATGTTACATAGGGGAATTGCCATGTGTATATTTGTTTAAGGTGTACACACTGACTTTATTGTCCTCAGGTGTATTTGTTATGTTATGATTTGCTATGCTATGTTTTGTCCTTATACCCCTTTGTCCTTAAAGCTTATTTGTCCTTGAACCCTTGGTAAACATTAAACTCTACATCAACCCCATGCCTAACCCTCTCAGGCTGCATCTCCTACAAGCTGTGTGTTTGTGATTGTATGTGATTTTTTTGTGTGCGTTTGTGAGTATATGCCGTGTCTTCATTCTGTATTAATATATTGACTTATATCGAACTTGTAAATATCTCCCTAGCTAGTTCGGCTTAAAGTTTGATTAACACAGTGCATTCCGTAAGATCGCATTCCCTGTAAAGAGCAGCCATTACCATTCTTGTTCGAAAGATATCTCAATATGGGATATATTTGGCATGAGAGATCCTTTCACTATCTCCCCCCTGTTTTCCACTATTCGTTCTGTGTAATGTATCCCTCCCCCCTTCACATTCTTCTTGTCACTTTATCACTGTCGCACAATCCAAACTATTTGGTTTCCAGGGCTTAGCCCTTGATAAATACCTTGGTGACAAGTACAAAGCGTTAGCTCAGAGCTGAAAGGAACAGACCGAGTAACAAAGCAATATCTTTGTATACTGTGCTACTGTGCAAGGCTGCCATCAGAAATACTGGGGCCCCTTACACAGCTCGAACGCTACACATGCAGGCTCCAAGCACCAGGACCACTTTGAATCACTAAATTGGTCAGGCTTGTTGGTGTAACCTATTCTGTGTTTGTGTTTTAGGAAGTGAAGAGATGTAAATAACTATTTTATTTGTCTGACATTCTGTAGTACTCCAATATTTTAAAATAAGTGTATCTTTCCTTTGTTTATTTCAGATCAATCTAAAATGGACATCAAGACTGATGATCTACAGAGATCCTTTCAAGACCTTGTGCACCATCTTGGGGGTAAGGAGAGATTTCTCCTGGTTGGAAACATTTGTCCCTCTGCACGCCCCTCTGAGAAGGCCTTGATATTCAAGGAGTTGAGTAGAGAACTCTTTGGAGATGATGTGGAAACTCCTACTAGAAGCCAGAGTAATGAAGAATTTATGCTGATCAAACAGAATGCCAAAATGTTCTCTGGGGAGTGCACTAAACTCCCCAAGCCAATGTCTTTCCCTTACCCACTCATCTTGGTGGTATTTCACCACACGTTCCTCAGAGAAGATATAAATCAGATTCAGGTCAAGGAGATATTGGTGGATGTTAAGACAAGAGTTAAGAAAAACCGCACAGGAATTATAGCGGTGATGTATAGTTCAGAGGTCATAGAGGAAGGGAAATGTCAGATATACGAGACCCTTCTCCTAAAGTTATTGCATCAAACCTTTGGAAGTACTGTTGGGGTCTGTACCTATGTAAGATCTAAGCCCAAAACAGTGGAGAAGATAAAAAGATGTGTTTCTGATGTCATAAAACAAGCAATAGAAATGTCTTCATAGCGTTAAGAAATATAAACTGAGATACTAGATAGCACCGTCAATCAGTCACGGCTACGGGTGAATACATTGCCTGCAGATTTGTTTTTATTCCAGACTACTATACATAATTCAAACTCTTCCAGCTAATTGGAGTCACCAGGTATATGCTTACTATATGATTCACATTACTCAAATACATTTGGAATTTTCACAATACTTGTGATCACACAAAAAGTAAGGAGTCTTGTAGACTACATTCACACACACACAAACCTGTTATTACATCAAACCCCACACCTAAGAATGCAGCTTCTATTAAATATCATCCACAATCACACCAAACTCTTTAGGACACGCAGCCTAAATAATTTTAACTACCATCCTCTCCCACTGTCTAGGAATCCTTCGCTTGAGCCTAACGTGTTACTTTCCTCAGTACAGCTTTTAATTCCATGTTACTTTATAACTATTTTCATTCCTCTACTTCGTTTATTTAAAGGACAACTGTCACCTCAAAACTAGGTTTTAAAATAATAATCCTTTATCAAGTTTTGAAAGGTAAGTTGTTTTTTTGGGGTTTTTTTTAAATGAAGTATCTGTAAAAAAAATACAAAAACCCTTATTCCTCATTCTTTTAGTATAAATCAGAATCTTCAGCCTTATGCTAGCACCTTGGGTCAGACATTGTTTGAAAATCATTAGTTAGTCTCTATAGTCTTCCCTGCTTCAAGGGAGTCAGCACAAAGGGACCTTGATGCTGGAATCAAGTGAATGAAAGAAAGGGTTATTTAACCCTTTCTATGTCGAGGGGGGGGAGCATGATGGAGGGGAGGGCAGAAGAACACTTTAGATGTGATGGAAGGAAGGCATGATGGAGGGGAATGCAGAAGAACACGTTACATGTGATGGAAGGAAGGCATGATGGAGGGGAGGGCAGAAGAACACTTTAGATGTGATGGAAGGAGGGCATGATGGAGGGGAGGGCAGAAGAACACTTTAGATGTGATGGAAGGAGGGCATGATGGAGGGGAGGGCAGAAGAACACTTTAGATGTGACAGAAGAACTTTAGATGTGATGGAAGGAGAAGGCATGATGGAGGGGAAGGCAGAAGAACACGTTACATGTGATGGAAGGAGGGCATGATGGAGGGAGGGCAGAAGAACACTGATGTGATGGAAGGAGGCATGATGGAGGGGAGGGCAGAAGAACACTTTAGATGTGATGGAAGGAGGGCATGATGGAGGGGAGGGAAGAGGAACAGTTTAGATGTGATGGAAGGAGGGCATGATGAGGGGAGGGCAGAAGAACACTTTAGATGTGATGGAAGGAGGGCAGAAGAACACTTTAGATGTAATGGAAGGAGGGCATGATGGAGGGGAGGGCAGAAGAACACTTTAGATGTGATGAAAGGAGGGCATGATGGAGGGGAGGGCATAAGAACACTTTACATATGATGGAAGGAGAGCATGATGGAGGGGAGGGCAGAAGAACACTTTAGATGTGATGAAGGAGGGCATGATGGAGGGGAGGGCAGAAGAACACTTTAGATGTGATGGAAGGAGGGCATGATGGAGGGGAGGGCAGAAGAACACTTTAGATGTGATGGAAGGAGGGCATGATGGAGGGGAGGGCAGAAGAATACTTTAGATGTGATGGAAGGAGGGCATGATGGAGGGGAGGGCAGAAGAACACTTTAGATGTGATGGAAGGAAGGCATGATGGAGGGGAGGCAGAAGAACACGTGATGTGATGGAAGGAGGCATGATGGAGGGGAGGGCAGAAGAACACTTTAGATGTGATGGAAGGAGGGCATGATGGAGGGGAGGGCAGAAGAACACTTTAGATGTGATGGAAGGAGGGCATGATGGAGGGGAGGGCAGAAGAACACTTTAGATGTGATGGAAGGAGGGCATGATGGAGGGGAGGGCAGAAGAACACTTTAGATGTGATGGAAGGAGGGCATGATGGAGGGGAGGGCAGAAGAACACTTTAGATGTGATGGAAGGAAGGCATGATGGAGGGGAGGGCAGAAGAACACGTTAGATGTGATGGAAGGAAGGCATGATGGAGGGGAGGGCAGAAGAACACTTTAGATGTGATGGAAGGAGGGCATGATGGAGGGGAGGGCAGAAGAACACTTTAGATGTGTTGGAAGGAGGGCATGATGGAGGGGAGGGCAGAAGAACACTTTAGATGTGATGGAAGGAAGGCATGATGGAGGGGAAGGCAGAAGAACACGTTACATGTGATGGAAGGAAGGCATGATGGAGGGGAGGGCAGAAGAACACTTTAGATGTGATGGAAGGAAGGCATGATGAAGGGGAGGGCAGAAGAACACTTTAGATGTGATGGAAGGAGGGCATGATGGAGGGGAGGGCAGAAGAACACTTTAGATGTGATGAAAGGAGGGCATGATGGAGGGGAGGGCAGAAGAACACTTAGATGTGATGGAAGGAGAGCATGATGGAGGGGAGGGCAGAAGAACACTTTAGATGTGATGGAAGGAGGGCATGATGGAGGGGAGGGCAGAAGAACACTTTAGATGTGATGGAAGGAGGGCTTGATGGAGGGGAGGGCAGAAGAACACTTTAGATGTGATGGAAGGAGGGGCATGATGGAGGGAGGGCAGAAGAACACTTTAGATGTGATGGAAGGAAGGCATGATGGAGGGAGGGCAGAAGAACACTTTAGATGTGATGGAAGGAGGGCATGATGGAGGGGAGGGAAGAGGAACAGTTTAGATGTGATGGAAGGAGGGCATGATGAGGGGAGGGCAGAAGAACACTTTAGATGTGATGGAAGGAGGGCAGAAGAACACTTTAGATGTAATGGAAGGAGGGCATGATGGAGGGGAGGGCATACGTTAGATGTGATGGAAGGAGGGCAGGATGGAGGGAAGGGCAGAAGAACACTTTAGATGTAATGGAAGGAGGGCATGATGGAGGGGAGGGCATACGTTAGATGTGATGGAAGGAGGGCATGATGGAGGGGAGGGCAGAAGAACACTTTAGTGTTAGTAATACAACTTTGTATTCCTGACACTATAATGTTCCTTTCACTCCCATAGAGACTCACTGTCGGTTTTTAAACACTGTCTGACCAAAGGTGCATGTATATGGCTGAAGGATCCTGTCATACTAAAGAAAGAGATGAGTTTCTCTCATGTATATAACCTCAGATCCACTACCAGTACTTTATTTAGCATACCACAATACAAAAATAAAGTGGCTCGATTCTCACTTTCCTACAGAGCACCGCAAATTACAGAATAATCTCTCGGACACCATCAAATTCTCCTCCATTCTAAAATCCTTTAATGGATCACTGTCAATATATCTCAGTACAGAATGCACCTGTAATCATGGTTAATTATATTGGTACCTGTTCTGTTTTAAATGTATATATGTGTATTTTAATATTATTTAGTATTTTTAATATTATATTATACCCTACTGTAATAAATGGAATGTTTGTTGGCCCAGGACATACTTAAAAATGAGAGAAATCTCCTTCCTGGTAAAATATTTTATAAATAAAAAAATATATAGGGATGGAGCTAGAATCAAGTAAGCAGGTGACTCATACAGATCTTACATTGGGTGAGCTACGCTGTTCACTTTACAATAATAATATTAACAAAGTATTTAACCAGGAAAGGCACATACAGATTACTCTGATTTTCAAGAACGTCCTGGGAATGTTACCTTAGCCCAACATCCAGGGGTTGTTACAATCAGGAAGATGTTTTGTGAAAAGGAAAGGCGCAGGGGGTGGAGCTATGCCACAGAAAGCTATACATTTAAAAAAAAAAAATATTTAAGCAGAATTAAAGAGATTTGATCAGGGAAAGAATAAACGTGCAGATGTGATCAAAACCCATCCAGTGCATTTAAAGGGACAGTATAGGCACCTAGAGCACTTCCTCTCATTGATGTGTGTGTGGTGCCCCTGTCGGGTTGACCCTGCAATGTAAATCCTCTTAACATTGCAGGGTTAAGTCCACCCCTAGTGATGTCACAGAAGGAGGAGACCTAGCCAGCGGCCAGAGTGCCACGGTGCGGGAGTTATGGCAAGTAAAAATTGATTTTTAACGATTAACACATTGGAGCGTGGGGAGACCTAATCAGTTAGGGAAAGGGACACTATGGCATTAAAAATACAGGTTTGTGTTGCTAATGCTAGAGTGTTCCCTTGAGTTGTGTTGGTACCCAGAGTGTTATATAACCTGTGATAACCCAGGTTAATGTAACTTTTCTGTTGGGATTCTGGTCTGTCACGCTGCATAGGGCAGAGATACAGTACATGCTGATACCTCTCCTGCACTGTGCAGAAGCATTTATAATTTAAAATGGTGGGCTGTATTCTAAACGCCAAGGATGGGGCAGGCGAGAGGGAGGACTCTGGGTGTACTGCACTCTGGAGGCCTCTTGGCCAGCTGCATAGAATGCATGAAAGGTTTTAGCAAGGTAACTGTACTTACTTTGGGCATTATCATTACATCCAAACTTTCAACTTTCTTCTACCTCCTGTTGCCATTTTGTTTTTTCAGAAAACACAATCCCAGAAATGTCATCCGGTTCCCTAACAAAGCAGAACGTTTTAAATTCTAAGTTCTATTTCTCTATTTTTGTTACACCTATGCTATATGATAAGATTGTTTTTCTATTCTATGTTCATATTTGAGAACCTGTCGGAAACACTGCAAGATAATGAATCTTTAAAAGCTTTTATCGGCCAATATTTCTGTCAGCATTAATAAGCAAAAAAATAAAACGTAATTACATCTTTAGGAATCTCCAAACACCAAGCCATACATTGCTGTTGTATACTTTGTATACGTTTTAGCTTTGCATCTCGTCTTTATTTGTGTTTTAAATAAAAAAGAGTAATGAAGGGGTTACATAACTGCTGAAAGAGGTGGTGTCTCCTCAGGCCGTACAATTAGAACATTAGAACATTTCGTGTGTCACCAGAATTGACACTCTCAGGTCTTCCGATAACCTACACATAGGCTACAAATATGTGACACACCTTGTGAAATTATTTGCATAGAGAACAGGGCCTTACCCACCAGACAGCTCCCATCGACAGCCCACAAATCATCCACGACCATAGCTTCTCAGCCTTATTTCGCTAAATACTGGGAACAAGCTGTAAACAAACCGTGGTCCTCCTCACAATACTCGAAAATGTGTCCATTTACATAACAGCAAAAGATCCCAAATTCCGGGGTACAAGTTACACATATACCAGTACTCTAAATGTCGCGTCCAGGCACAAACAGATCGACAGGCAGTCACCTCTCACTTTTTATAGTGTTTTACATTAAAAAGGATTCAAAGAACTCTCACTTTGCAAAATCCGATCAATTATGTTACTATTGCCCAACATAATGGTGCTAATTTTATTAACTCTGGAAGGATGATAGGCTGACATTAAGATTTCTGGTTACCCACAGAGACATTGTATCTCTTCCACACGTTTGTAGATGTCAGTAGTCATGTAACTACTTGGACCAAACACCTGGGTTATGGGTTGGCAACCTTTGGCACTCCAGATGTTGTGGACTAGATCTCACATAATGCTCTTACAGCCGTAATGCTTGCAAAGCATCAAGGGAGTTGTAGTTCACAACATTTAGAGTGCTGACAGTTGCCTACCCCAGACCTAAATAAATGTTTATTAACTTGTTCTCATTCTTCTCTCATCCTCTCTACCTCGTTGTGTTTATTTTAAACGTTTGTGTTAGTTAGACACTAAGCTTTCTCCTAGTGACCTTTCATTTCATTTGGGTTTATTCACTAAAGTGAGAATTGTAAAGAACTGACAATGAAATAGGAAATTATAACAAAAATACCCCAGAGACTGGATACATTTCAAAACTCACCAAAACTCCAACTCGTTTGTTCCGTCGCAAAATGTGTAATCTGTTTATTCATTCTTCACATTTCCCAGTGCGTCTGATGTTCTGAGATTATGATAGTGATTTTTCATTTGTATTCTCTGTATGTGACATTTGAATAACTGAAAATATAATAAACATTATTTAATTTAAAAAACGATTTCACCTGCCATATATGGCAAGTACTGGTGGGTTATTCAATAAACTGTGAATTGTCAGGAATTTAAGTATTTTTTTTAATTTTAGAGCAAAAAAAACAAACTTAAAATACATCAGACTTGCAGTTCTGCCGTTGTGTCTTAAATGATAAAATGATAAAATCCACTTTGAATGCCCAACGATTCATAACCATAAAAGTACCCCAGGAGTTTATTAGAACGCATAGAGGGTTATTCAATAAAGTGGGAATTGTTGGGAATTCAAGATAAATACTTTGGCCTCAAATTTGAATTCCTGACAAATCTCATGTTAGTAAAAAAAATGCTATAATTCTGTAGGGGTAAAAATCCTACATATTTACTTATTGCATTGTGCCTGTGTAATATTCCTCTGATACTATAATATTATCGATTCATTCTGTGCTCTACTTTTATGTTTAATAACAATTAAAAAAAAAAAACGAAGTATGCAAACCTGTCATTCCTACTTCTGTTTATTGCAATAAAATGTATATATTAACCCAAACTACACATTTAGCTAAAACCCACCAATACTGGGGTTTTGGAACACAGACATGAACTGTCACAGGAATTTAAAAAGTATATTTACTTATTTAACAAACGTGTATTTGTGAATTTATTTAACAAATGTGTGTTTGTGAAGTGTGAAAAATAAAAATAAATCGGCAGCTTTGTTCTGCACCTGGCAGTCAGCATAGAGGAAGCGTACGGATAACATGGGAAATATAGAAATCGAGTTATTTACTAAAAAGTAAATTCAAAGTGAAGTTCAAACTTAAAGGGACACCATGGACCCATGAAGAACTTGCTAAAATGCGTTATGTATTAAGTGTGTCTTCCTTTTTAATTTTACAAAAAGTTCACAATAGAAATCGACACTTTTATAAATGAATCTTGTTACATCCCCCCGGGCTGTCAATCAGACAATTGGTCCTGTTACTTCCTGGTTTGTTTAGTTGTGGCGAAATTCCTGTATTTTTGCATGAATTATTTTTTAAACAGTCTTTGTATAATTGTAGTGTGTGTTTGTGTGTATATATATGTATATACATTAGGAAAAGCCCCAAGGAATCATACTTAAAGGAATATCATAGTCACTCAGACTGCTTCATTTAAATGTGCATTGTCCCTGTCCTTTTAACCCTTCAATGTTAAATATTGTTTTTGATAAAGTGCAATGTTTACCTTGCAGGGTTAAGTGCACCTCTGGCTGTCAACACAATACAGCATTCACCTCTTTATCAGTTGACTGGTTTTAACTACTTCAGCCTATTGTATTGTAATCAGCCACACATATAAAATGGGATTTTGAATGGGAGGGGGAGGTAAGAGTTGATAATTCACCACAAGAGATGGCCACCAACTTGGGATGGCTGGCTAGGGGAATATAAGCAGCAGTCTTACACCATTATTCTTCTAGTTAAAATAGCAGGCTTGCCAGCAGTCCTGCTTTTGGTGGCACAGTCCAAGTGGCTGACTGTCAACTTTTGGCCCAGGGGGCAAGTACAACACAAAGGCCCATGGGTCAGCAACTTGGCCACATATTTAAAAAAATTAAAAATATGATCTCCCGTGCCATCTCTTTCCTGCTTGTTGCCCCAAGGCAATGGCCTCAGTGGCTTTATGGGAAATCAGTGTGGGGCAGAGGCAGGGAAGTGAGTGTGTACCTAAACAGCCATGAGTAGGGAAAACAAGTGGTGCAGTACCCTCCTTGCTGCCCCAATGCCATTATCCTCAATGCAACCCCCTGACTGAATATACATAACAAACAAAGTTAGGAGTACTCGGTTGCATGATTTTATATGACTATTGTGGGGTAGGATTGATTGGTGAATGTGACTAGTTGGTGGTTGGACGATAATTATGAGAGCTGGGAGAGGGTGTGTGCGTGTATGTATGTGTGGAGGCTGCTTGTGGGGTTATATATATGTGGGAATGCTGCTTGTGTGGAGGTGGCTACTTGTTTTACATTTGGGGCTGTAGTGGGGGAATAGAGGCTTTGGTGGGGAGTAGTGGCTATTGTGGGATTATAGGGATGTAGTTTGGGATAGTGGATGTAGTGGCAGAATCAAGGCTATAGCGGGGGATAAAGCCTGTAGTGTGGGGAGTAGTGGCTATAGTGGGATTATAGGGGATGTAGTTTGGGATAATGAATGTAGTGGGAAAATCAGGGCTATAGTGAGGGGATAGTGGCTATGGTGGGGGTGAGGGGATTGTGGCTATAGTGGTGGGGGTCAGAGGCCACAGTAGATAAGGTAGTAGTGGGGAGATAGGGATATAGCGGTAGAATTGGGGCAGTAGTGGGAGGATAGGGACAATTATGGGGTGACCGGGGCTATAGTGTGGTGATAATGGCTAGAGTAGGGGGAAAGAGGCTATATTGAGAAAATAGAGACTATTGTTGTGTGGATATTATAGTATAGGTATAGTTGGGTATAGTGGGGCAATAGGGGCTATTGTAGGGTGTCAGGGACTATAATGGGTTGACAGGGGCTATTGTGGGGTGACAGGGGCTATACTGGGATGACAGGGGCACTAGCAGGGTGACAGGGGCAGTCGTGGGGCGACAGGGACTATTGTGGGGTGACAGGGGCAGTAGTGAGGTGACAGGGACTATTATGGGGTGACAGGGGCTACCGTGGGGTGACAGGGGCTGTCGGGGAGTGATAGCGGCTGTCACAGATCACTGTGTTCAGTCTGAGGGGCGGGGCCATGCACAGATCACTATGTTCAGTCTGAGGGGCGGGGCCATGCACAGATCACTGTGTTCAGTCTGAGGGGGCGGGGCCATGCACAGATCACTGTGTTCAATGTGAGAGGGCGGGGCCATGCACAGATCACTGTGTTCAATGTGAGAGGGCGGGCCATGCACAGATCACTGTGTTCAGTGTGCACAGATCACTGTGGAGGGGGCGGGGCCATACACAGATCACTGTGTTCAATGTGAGTGTTCAGGAGAGGGCGGGGCCATGTACAGATCACTGTGTTCAATGTGAGAGGGCGGGGCCATGCACAGATCACTGTGTTCAATGTGAGAGGGCGGGGCCACGCACAGATCACTGTGATCAGTCTGAGGGGGCGGGGCCATGCACAGATCACTGTGTTCAATGTGAGAGGGCGGGGCCATGCACAGATCACTGTGTTCAATGTGAGAGGGCGGGGCCATGCACAGATCACTGTGTTCAATGTGAGAGGGCGGGGCCATGCACAGATCACAGATGTGTTCAATGTGAGAGGGCGGGGCCATGCACAGATCAGTGTGTTCAATGTGAGAGGGCGGGGCCATGCACAGATCAGTGTGTTCAATGTGAGAGGGCGGGGCCATGCACAGATCACTGTGTTCAATGTGAGAGGGCGGGGCCATGCACAGATCACTGTGTTCAATGTGAGAGGGCGGGGCCATGCACAGATCAGTGTGTTCAATGTGAGAGGGCGGGGCCACGCACAGATCACTGTGATCAGTCTGAGGGGGCGGGGCCATGCAATGTGAGAGGGCGGGGCAATGCACAGATCACTGTGTTCAATGTGAGAGGGCGGGGCCATGCACAGATCAGTGTGTTCAATGTGAGAGGGCGGGGCCACGCACAGATCACTGTGATCAGTCTGAGGGGGCGGGGCCATGCACAGATCACTGTGTTCAATGTGAGAGGGCGGGGCCATGCACAGATCAGGCTACTCAGACTGAATGCAGTGATCCAGAGTCCTGCAGCCAGCAGACACCGTCAGGAGGTATGGGGGGGGGAGTTTAACCGGCAGAGCAGGCGCCCCTACAGGACAGGAGGTATGGGGGGGAGTTTAACCAGAAGAGCAGGTGCCCCCTACAGGACAGGAGGTATGGGGGGGGGAGTTTAACCAGCAGAGCAGGCGCCCCCTACAGGACAGGTGCCCACTCTGCCTAATGGAAAATCCGGCCCAGCTGTAACCAGATTAACAATATATACGGTAGTGAAAACAAAATTTAAAAAAACAAAGTGAGAATTCAAATTGATTTTCAATTTTAAGGTAAAAATAGCCCAACCGGAAACATTCTCTAATTCAGATGGGCTTCCAGATCGGCTACTCTGGTCTTAAAACAGAAATTCACTTTGAATTATCACTTTAGCAAATAACCCTTTTAGTTACAGCCCTAAAATGTGTGTGTGAATGAACTGGCAACCTGTCTGGTCTCACAGCAGAGAATGAGTCAAAACATAAAGCAGACATGAGGAAATACCGCATAGCTTCCAATGGAATTAAAGGGAAATTTAAAGGGATTAAAGGCATTTTTAATCTTAGATTTACTTAATCCCAACATGTAACAAATACGTGTTTGTGACATCGGAAAATAAAATGTAGGAATCCACACGCTGTGCTTATTCCGGAGCTGAGCGCCGCCATCTTGGCGTCCTGCCAGACATTGTTAAATGTTCTGCCCCGTACACCTGTCAGTTAACACAGAGAGAGCAATTAGCGATGAGGAGGCACAGTAGCAACGGGGAGGGGGCGAGGGATCAGTCAAAGTGTCGCAGCTATCACACTTTTTGGGGGATGATTTTTTTTTTTTTTCATATATTAGTTATATAGCATCCTCGAGCTTTATTTACAAAACAATAAATGTAAAAAGAAATCATAAAACGCAAGTTGGAAAAAGATTTCGACTTGGCTATTTTGGAGTAAAGTTTGATATTCACATATCAGTTAAAAAATAATTGCCCCGGACTTTCTCTGCGGTTCCGTCTACTCCCTAAACTGAACATTAAGATTTAATGACATATTCCTGCCTTTTCCTAATCAGTTTTGTGAGAGTTTTGGCTGGACGGGAAGACATTAGGGAGGGCAGAATTTGGCACAAAAACCTGTTTACTCAGAGAAATGAGGCATGGAGAGGGGAGGCATGCTGGGTAAATTAACTGCTTGGATGCTGAAGGGGGAGAACAAGGCAAAGGGTTAAACATAACATTTTTGGACCCAGTGGTAGGTCATTGTTCCCTTATCTCGGTGACCACTAATGATATATTTTTGGGGGCGAGCAGTGCTGCGGGGGAGGCAACACCATCCGTCCGTGATGCTTCAAGTAACAGGGGGCATCTTCACCGAAATCCCATATGAATAAAAGCTCATTCCAGCTCCATACACGAAATCCATTTACAAAATCAGGTTGTTTTTCTGTTTGTAATATGTCAAACATTACACAATTAACAAAAAAAGTTGCCAATAAAAAATGTAAACATTTAATTTGCCATGTGCATTAAAATGTTGCATTGCAAATATGGTCGAGTTACAAAATGTGCATCATCAGATGTTAGTGTTAATATTAGGGCTAGGGTTAGTGTTAGGGTTAATATTAGGGCTAGGTTCGGTGTTAGGGTTAATATTAGAATAATGTTCGGTGTTAGGGTTAATATTAGGGCTAGGTTCAGTGTTAGGGTTAATATTAGGGCTAGGTTCGGTGTTAGGGTTAATATTAGGGCTAAATTCAGTATTAGGGTTAATATTAGGGCTAGGGTTAGTGTTAGGGTTAATATTAGGGCTAGGTTCAGAGTTAGGGTTAATATTAGGGCTAGGGTTAGTGTTAGGGTTAATATTAGGGCTAAGTTCAGTGTTAGGGTTAATATTAGGGTTAGGTTCAGAGTTAGGGTTAATATTAGGGCTAGGTTCAGAGTTAGGGTTAATATTAGGGCTAGGTTCGGTGTTAGGGTTAATATTAGGGCTAAATTCAGTATTAGGGTTAATATTAGGGCTAGGGTTAGTGTTAGGGTTAATATTAGGGCTAGGTTCAGAGTTAGGGTTAATATTAGGGCTAGGGTTAGTGTTAGGGTTAATATTAGGGCTAAGTTCAGTGTTAGGGTTAATATTAGGGTTAGGTTCAGAGTTAGGGTTAATATTAGGGCTAGGTTCAGAGTTAGGGTTAATCCTCCTCCAGTCTCTGTATTGTCAGTGAGTGTCAGTGGTTTTAATCCCCCTCCAGTCTCTGTATTGTCAGTGAGTGTCAGTGGTTTTAATCCCCCTCCAGTCTCTGTATTGTCAGTGAGTGTCTGTGGTTTTAATCTCCCTCCAGTATCTGTGTTGTCAGTGAGTGTCAGTGGTTTTAATCTCCCTCCAGTCTCTGTATTGTCAGTGAGTGTCAGTGGTTTTAATCCCCCTCCAGTCTCTGTATTGTCAGTGAGTGTCAGTGGTTTTAATCCCCCTCCAGTCTCTGTATTGTCAGTGAGTGTCAGTGGTTTTAATCTCCCTCCAGTCTCTGTATTGTCAGTGAGTGTCAGTGGTTTTAATCCCCCTCCAGTCTCTGTATTGTCAGTGAGTGTCAGTGGTTTTAATCTCCCTCCAGTCTCTGTATTGTCAGTGAGTGAGTGTCAGTTATTTCCTGCTGCGAGTGTTCCGAACAGTTAGACAAACTGACACATTGTCTCACACTGGGGACACTGCAGCCGGCACCGGTGGGAGGCAATTCACCAAATTCCCAGTTTTGTTTATATAAAAAGTTTGTATAAAAGTCCATCACTGGGAGGTAAGGATTTGGGATGGATAGGGGCAGCTCATGCGCAGAGCGTTGCTGAAACTCAGGGACCATTGACACAGATTCCCTGAATTTGCTTATCGCAGTAACTAAATGGCTGAGGCTATTACAGTCTCACAAAGTCTCCTATGCTTGACCCCCAAAATTTGTCAGCAAGGAGTCGGACAGGAGTATGGCGGTTGGGGGGCGGTGTCCATGATACAATATTTGTTAACGATCTATAGACTGTAAGCTCGTTTGAGCAGGGTCCTCTTTAACCTATCGTTCCTGTAAGTTTTCTTGTAATTGTCCTATTTATAGATAAATCCCCCCTCTTATAATATTGTAAAGCGCTACGGAATCTGTTGGCGCTATATAAATGGCAATAATAATAATAAACGACACACGTGGTTGTAAAGGGGAGGTTTCCTTGCGTCCGTGTGTGCGTATCCTCTATACACGTTCACCCCGCCGCCCTGATAGCTGGTTTCAGCCAATCCGCTTTCAAAGAGCAGAAACGCCTGTTATAGTCTAGCGCGGTCTTAAACGCTGCGCTCACCAACAGGATAATTCACTAAAATGTGCATTTTCAGAAATTCACAGTGAATTTCACATTGAAGGCCAAAGCATCGCTGGTATAGAGAGTATTTCCAGTTTGGCTATTTTTACCTCGAATTTAGCATTGATTTCGAATCCTCAATTTAGTGGATATCCCTGTGCATGTTTTCAGTAAAAAAATTGATATATTTTTTTTTTTTTACATTTTAGAGCAAAGAAACATGACTAAACTTAGCAGAAGTAAACAGTGAATTGTAGTGAATCAAAAACTGAATTGTTAAATTGAGGTAAAAAGTGAAACTGTCACTCCGTACCTGGCCCACCGCATTTCTCTGCATAATTGTAGTTTTCTTAGTAAAAAAAATATAAAAAAAATACTACTTGTAATAAAATTGTCCTCTTACGTAATGTGATAAAGTAAGATTGTTCCGGAAATCAAAACTATTTTTATTTCCAGTCACGAAACGTGTATATATAATTGGAAATGTTATAAAATGGTTTCTTCATTAGCCATATGTGTAATTTAGGGGACAAGTAATCTAATGTCAGAGTTATTTACTAAACTTTGAATAGCAGAGAATTATATTCCTAAATCCAAAATATAGTCTAAAATAGGCCCGCTGTAACTAGATCTGAACAGATTGGCTATTTTTGCCTCAGTTTTCCCAATACTTTACAATTCTGGATTTAGTAATGTCAAAATAGCTGAGTTGTGTCAACAGTTGTAAAGCTTTAAATTGAGGGGTTTTTCTCAATTTGATTATTTCGGCCCATATTCTGTCAGTTTTCGGGCTGCTCACGTTCGCTGTTTAGAGATTATATAAAATGTTCTATTTTAAAATTCCACATGCACAGCACATTCTTAGCCATAGGACGGGGATGGCCCCATGCCAAGAGAGTAAACCAGAGCACGGTCTGTCCTTATACAGAATTCTTACAAGTCCTTAATTACATTACAATTAGAACAGTAGGTAAATTAGCAGTTTGGCTATTAATCCTGTTTTTGGCTATCAAGGATTTGAATACATTAAATTTCACTTGGAATGGGACGTGTGTCTTTAAAATCCTGAATGAGCTACGATAAGGTTAGAATCAGAAAATATCTCCTAAGTGAAGGTATATGCCCTGCTACCTCTGTATAAGAAAAAGGTGAGAGGTGCTTGCCCTGCTGCCTCTGTATTACTAGAAGGTGAGAGGTGCTTGCCCTGCTGCCTCTGTATTACTAGAAGTTGAGAGGTGCTTGCTCTGCTGCCTCTGTATTAGGAGGAGGTGAGAGGTATGTGTCCTGCTGCCTCTGTATTAGGAGGAGGTGAGAGGTATGTGTCCTGCTGCCTCTGTATTAGGAGGAGGCGAGAGGTAGGTGTCCTGATGTCTATGTATTAGCAGGAGGTGAGAGATATGTGTCCTGATGGCTGTGTATTAGGAGGTGGTGAGAGGTACGTGTCATTAAATTTGTTTATAAAGAGAAATATAATGACAGATATGTGCCCTGCTCTCTCTGTATTAGGAGAGCTAAAAGATACTTACTCTGCTGCCTCTGTTACTAGTAGGAGGTGAGAGCCATGTGCCCTGCTCTCTCTGTATTAGGAGGTGAGAGGTACGTGTCAATATATTTGTGCATAAAGAGAAGAGGGTAGATATGTATTCTGATGGCTGTGTATTAGGAGGCGGTGAGGGGTGCATACACCCCTGCTTGTGTATTAGGAGGCGGTGAGGGGTACATACACCCCTGCTTGTGTATTAGGAGGCGGTGAGAGACACACACTGCTGCCTGTGTTTTAGGATGTGGTGAGAAGTACGTGTCCTGATGTTTATGTATTAGAAATAGGTGAGCATATGTGACTAGATCTATGTGTATTAAGAGGAGGGAGAGGTGTTTTTCCTGGTGTCTCTATATTAGGAGGAGGGAGAGTTATTTCTTGATGTCTCTGTATTAGGAGGCAGTGAGAGTTGTGTCCCCTGATGTCTCTGTATTAGGAGGAGAGGATGGATGGGATTGTTTATTAGGAGGTAGTGAGAGTTGTTTCCCCTGATGTCTCTGTATTAGGGGGGGGAATGGGTGTGAATGTTTATTAGGAGGCAGTGAGAGTGGTGTTCCCTGATGTCTCTGTATTAGGAGGAGGGGAGATGGGTGTGAATGTTTATTAGGAGGCAGTGAGAGTGGTGTTCCCTGATGTCTCTGTATTAGGAGGAGGGGATGAATAGGGTTGTTTATTAGGAGGTAGTGAAACTGTGAGAGGTGTGTCTCTGTATTAGGCTGAAATGCAAGCTATGTATATTGAAGTCTGTGTACTATAGGAGGAGGAGAGGGATATATCTGATCTCTCTATCAGGAGAAGGAAGATCTGTGTATAAGAAGTTAAAGGAGCAGAGTCCTGGTAGTGTAAGCATTGTGTGACTCTGGATATTAGGAGTTAAATGGACAGATCTCATGTATTTTAGGCACTGCCTGACACTGGGAATTGGGAGTACAACGGTAAGTGTCCAGTGCATTGCAAGTTTGATACTGTATACTAGCAGTTAAAGGGCCAGTGTCCTGTTTATTGTAAGCACTGTGTGATGTGTGATACTACATATTAGGAGTTAAAGGGACAGTGTCCTGTGTATTGTACATGTGTGTTACTTTGCATTAAGAGTTAAAGGGGCAGTGTCCTGTGTATTGTAAATTTGTGTATTACTCTATATCAGTAGTTAAAGTGGAGTGTCCTGTATTTTGTACATGTGTGTTACTTTGTATCAGTAGTTAAAGGGGCCGTGTCGTGTGTATTGTATTGTAAATGTGTGTTACTTTGTATTAGAAGTTAAAGAGGCAGTGTCGTGTATTGTAAATGTGTGTGTTACTCTGTATCAGTAGTTAAAGGGACAGTGTCCTGTATTTTGTACATGTGTGTTACTTTGTATCAGTAGTTAAAGGGGCCGTGTCGTGTGTATTGTATTGTAAATGTGTGTTACTTTGTATTAGAAGTTAAAGAGGCAGTGTCGTGTATTGTAAATGTGTGTGTTACTCTGTATCAGTAGTTAAAGGGACAGTGTCCTGTGTATTGAACATGTGTGTTACTTGGTATTAATAGTTAAAGGGGCAGTGTCCTGTGTATTGAACATGTGTGTTACTTGGTATTAATAGTTAAAGGGGCAGTGTCCTGTGTATTGAACATGTGTGTTACTTGGTATTAATAGTTAAAGGGGCAGTGTCCTGTGTATTGAACATGTGTGTTACTTTGTATTAGGAGTAGAAGGGGCAGTGTCTTGTGTGTAGAGCAGGAGATAAGAGAGCAGTGATTAGGTGAGGAGGGAGGAGGGTCATGTGACAAACACAAACTTTGAGCAGACACATTGACAAAGTGTGAAGTTGAATAAACACAGAAGAGGTTCTGAGGGTACGTGTGTATTGGTGTATAATCCGTTTGTGTGTTGGTTTGACTGGGTGTACACCAGGGACCCTGCAGATCTGCACTGTGTGTGCATGGATGTTTTTCTCTTTGCACACAATTAGTGAGTTAATCTCAGCAAGGCATGTTTTGTTGCATGGGAATATAGAATATGTGTGTGTGTGTGTGTGTGTGTTATTTTGCACAAACAATAAATAAAGGTAACAGATTACTGAATTTTAGAATCACTAATATTTATATATTTACACAAAGATACAAAATGCGCACATACAATCAGCAACAAAGTGTTCACACAAATACACATTCATTCCAACATACACATGAACACACAATTATTCACACATAAACACACAAATACGTGTTTTCTAAATAATTAAACACATTTTTATAGAACACAAATATAGGAACATTGTAGTAGGCAGAACACAAATCTCTATATTTGGAAGAGCGCGTACATAGCTTACAAACCCTGCTATGTATACGCAGCGGGGTATAGATATATACATACACACACACTCACTCCGATATACTCCTGTAAACTTTCACCCAGCAGACCCAGTGATACACCGTGCACACAGAGACTCACTGTTACATAGGATTGTATGGGAACATGACATACTGTGTAATGTTGTAAAACCAGTTTTGTTCTGCAGAGAGCTGTGGGATTTCGTGAGCGAGATACTCTTTGTATGCTTTCGAGTTAAACTTTACGGACCGCAGATAAACCGAGCCAAAGGTAAGGACTTCATTCTAAATGTAAGCTCTTGGGGCCAGTGTTAGAGAACTACATTAAAGCATGAGCAATGAATGACATCTGTTTTAGTTATATTTTACTTTACTATTTATTATAATATTCATAGTGTTTTCTAAGCAGCTTTGATTGTTTTTGGAACCTGTATTCTTCCTTGCAACCCTCTCCGCAATTAATTATATAGGGTGAAAGGAGGCGTTAAAAGGAGTAATATAAGGAGTTATAGGGAGGGCTCTATGGATTAATAGGGGGAATTATAATGAGGGTTATATGGAGTAATAGGAGGAGTTATAGGGAGGGTTATATGGAGTAATAGGAGGAGTTATAGGGAGAGGTTATATGGAGTAATAGGAGGAGTTATAGGGAGAGGTTATATGGAGTAATAGGAGGAGCTATAGTGAGGGTTATATGGAGTAATAGGAGGAGTTATAGAGAGGGTTATATGGAGTAATAGGAGGAGTTATAGGGAGGGTAATATGGAGTAATAGGAGGAGTTATAGAGAGGGTTATATGGAGTAATAGGAGGAGTTATAGGGAGAGGTTATATGGAGTAATAGGAGGAGCTATAGGGAGAGTTATATGGAGTAATAGGAGGCGTTATAGGGAGAGGTTATATGGCGTAATAGGAGGAGTTATAGGGAAGGTTATATGGAGTAATAGGAGGAGTTATAGGGAGGGTTATATGGAGTAATAGGAGGAGTTATAGGGAGAGGTTATATGGAGTAATAGGAGGAGTTATAGTGAGGGTTATATGGAGTAATAGGAGGAGTTATAGAGAGGGTTATATGGAGTAATAGGAGGAGTTATAGGGAGAGGTTATATGGAGTAATAGGAGGAGTAATAGGAGGGGTTATATGGAGTAATAGGAGGGGTTATATGGAGTAATAGGAGTGGTTATACGGAGTAATAGGAGGAGTTATAGGGAGGGTTATATGGAGTAATAGGAGGAGTTATAGGGAGGGTAATATGGAGTAATAGGAGGAGTTATAGAGAGGGTTATATGGAGTAATAGGAGGAGTTATAGGGAGAGGTTATATGGAGTAATAGGAGGAGCTATAGGGAGAGTTATATGGAGTAATAGGAGGCGTTATAGGGAGAGGTTATATGGCGTAATAGGAGGAGTTATAGGGAAGGTTATATAGAGTAATAGGAGGAGTTATAGGGAGAGGTTATATGGAGTAATAGGAGGAGTTATAGAGAGGGTTATATGGAGTAATAGGAGGAGTAATAGGGAGGGTTATATGGAGTAATAGGAGGGGTTATATGGAGTAATAGGAGGGGTTATACGGAGTAATAGGAGGAGTTATAGGGAGGGTTATATGGAGTAATAGGAGTTATAGGGAGGGTTATATGGAGTAATAGGGGGAGTAATAGGAGGAGTTATAGGGAGGGTTATATGGAGTAATAGGAGGAGTTATAGGGAGGGTTATATGGAGTAATAGGGGGAGTTATAGGGAGGGTTATATGGAGTAATAGGGGGAGTAATAGGAGGAGTTATAGGGAGGGTTATATGGAGTAATAGGAGGAGTTATAGAGAGGTTATATGGAGTAATAGGAGGAGTTATAGGGAGGGTTATATGGAGTAATAGGAGGAGTTATAGGGAGAGGTTATATGGAGTAATAGGAGGAGTTATAGAGAGGTTATATGGAGTAATAGGAGGAGTTATAGGGAGGGTTATATGGAGTAATAGGAGGAGTTATAGGGAGAGGTTATATGGAGTAATAGGAGGAGTTATATGGCGTAATAGGAGGGGTTATACGGAGTAATAGGAGGAGGTATGGGGAAGATTATATGGAGTAATGGGAAGAAAGATCCAGTTTTGCTGCATGTAAAGTCAGTAATATAAATGATTAATGCGATTTATTCTCTTGGAGTCCTCCCCTCCTCCTGATGTTTTTGCTGTGTGAGTGTTTATAGTCCTGACAGAATCCAGCTGCCATCAGAATCCCTCACACGCTTCATTTGTGGGTTTAGCCTGGGCTCCTGGGGATAAGCGGTGGAAAAATGTTCATCCAAAATCCAGATTATGTTAGCAGAAACCATAATTAACCCTGCGTGTTACCCAGGGAAAAAAAGGTGTTTCTCAATAAAGAGAGATTCTGGAAAATTGGGCAAAAAGTGGATGAATCGGTAGGAATGGGCCCTTGGTTTCCATGGTAACTGCCCCCCAGAATGTCTGTTTATTAGAAAACTCCTAGGGACTCAGGTTTCTCTATTGTGGATGGGGATCAATCAATCCAATACTCTGACACTAATGGGTTAACTGGTATCCAGACTGCTGTCAGGTTCAAATATTAAACAGCGAACAAACAGGGTATATATTTACTGAGCCGAAGTACTGCTTGTACGAAGATTGTAAACTTTGTATTCTTAGTACTACTTCATTAAATCTCGATTTACTGTTCGATAATCAGGTAACACAGCAAGTTATGTCCATATAGCTTGATTTACTGTAAAATAACAAGAACCATAACTGTCATACTGTGAGTTAGCGGCGTTCAAACAGGGCTCACAATGGCTTGCTGTTATATAGACTTAAATGGGCACTATTGGCACCATTCACCGTTTAGTAGAGAGTCTGGAGTCCGGTCTCCATTAATGAAATGGTGAAGACGGAGATGTGCTCTGCTTTACGCCATACCATGGGTAGTGGGCAGTGATTGGCTGAAAGTGTCACCGGAGCCAACCACTGTCCCCAGCACTGGTATAAACTAGGATAGCTATGTATTTGCCATATAGTAATTGGAACTAGGGCTGCACACTACCCTGGATATTGTGTCAGTAGCGTTTTTGGTTTCTTTATATAATTGGGCTGATGAATACTATAGCCATTGCCGCTGCCCAAGGGTTTTGGGAGTTAGAACTCCCAAACCTCTTCTATGCATTTGTGTTTTTACTATGTGAGAAGTCACCAGACACGATCACGGACATTTTAAATCCCTCACAATAGCCACCTATTTGCTTCTAAAACCAATCTACAAATGTACATAGCAACAATTGTATACTTCTAACGGAGTCCTGCTTTCTAGAATGTGTTCGAAAGCAAAATCAACTTCCTGTTAGAATAATTTTCTAAATTAATATTAATATTGAACACTGCCAAGTGCCCTGCGTATTGCATGTCACTCCTGACTCTCCAACGCAAGCTACAAACTCTAATATCAAGTATTGTTGGGTGGTTTAACGCCTCAGCTGGCAAAGTGCACACAGACGTCTTATTATGCCGTGTCTATAGATCTTAGAGAGCATTCATAATTATAACTAAAACACGATTAAGAAATATTTACTCGTTTTAAACTTAATCCTCTATGGTCTGTAGAAAGACATCTATGAGGGTCTTATACACACACCTCCCAAGTGCCCTGATTTTTGAGGGACAGTCCCTATTTTAAACTCAAATCCCTCTGTCCCTCTTTTCTAGGAGCTCCATATTGTTGGTGTGTCTGAATGTATAACACAACTCCACAGCAATAATTCTTCCAGTAATGTGTCTGAGTTTATAACAGAGCTCCACAGCAATAATACTCCCAGTAATGTGTCTGAGTGTATAACAGAGCTCCACAGCAATAATACTCCCAGTAATGTGTCTGAGTGTATAACAGAGCTCAGTGGCGTACACATGACCCATGGGGCCCCGGTGCGAAAATTGATCCAGGGGCCCCCCCCCACGCTTACTCGGCGCGGGTCGGGGCCGCAACACATGGCGGCGGGCACCTGGTCGCAGGGGTTGCAGGGCTGCGACCCCGTGACCGCGGTATGCACACACACTTAAAGGACCACTACAGACACCCAGATCACATCAGCTCAATGAAGTGGTCTGCGTGCCAGGTCCCTCTAGTTTTAACCCTGCAGCTGAAAACATAGCAGTTTCAGAGAAACGGCTATGTTTCACTGAGGGTTAATCCAGCCTCTGGTGGCTGTCTCATTGACAGTTGCTAGAGGAGCTTCCGCGATTCTCACTGTGAAAATCACAGTGAGAAGACACTGAACGTCCATAGGAAAGCATTGAGTAATGCTTTCCTATGGGCGGTTTAAATGCGCGCGCCCCTTGCCGCGCATGTGCATTCGGAGCTGAGAGGCGAAGGGATCCCCAGCGCCAAGGGAGTCCGACGCTGGAGAAAGGTAAATGCTGAAGACACACATACACACTCACGAACAAACGCATACACACTAGCTAAACAGACACACACATTTACTGACAGAGACAAACTCAGCGACAGACATACATACACACTCACTTACAAAACATACACTTTCACTGACACACACTCAGTAACAGACACACACCCAATAACAGACACACTCACTGACACACACACTAACACAAACACACACACACACACACACTAACACAAACAAACAAACACACACTAACACACACACTAACACAAACACACACACTAACACAAACACACACACACACTAACACACACACACACACTAACACACACACTAACACACACACTAACACACACACACTAACACATTTTTTTAAAATTTAATCCCCCCAGCCTCCTTACCTTTCGGAGTGCTGGGGGGATTCCCTGGGGTCCAGTGGTGCTGCTGGGCTCTTGGGGCTCTTGGGTGGCCGGCGCGCGAGGGAGCACTCTGCTCTGAGTGCTTCCTCTTCAGCTCCCTCGCGCGCCGCATAGGGATGCCGGAGCCGGAAGATGATGTCATCTTCTGGCTCCGGTATCTATTCGGTGTGCGAGGGAGCTGAAGAGGAAGCACTCAGAGCAGAGTGCTCCCTCGCGCGCCCTCCTGCCTGCCTGCCCGGTGACAGCAGGGCCAGCCTCGGGGGGCCCTGGGGTGGTCGGCTCCTGGCCCTGTGGGTACATACAGGGTCGCAGGGGCGGCCGGGCCCCCTGGTGGGCCGGGCCCGGTCGCAGCCGCGACCCCTGCGACCCTGGTATGTACGCCACTGACAGAGCTCCACAGCAATTATACTCCCAGTAATGTGTCTGAGTGTATAACAGAGCTCCACAGTAATAATACTCCCAGTAATGTGTCTGAGTGTATAACAGAGCTCCACGGCAATAATACTCCCAGTAATGTGTCTGAGTGTATAACAGAGCTCCCCAGCAATAATACTCCCAGTAATGTGTCTCTAAACTAATAATAAATGTGTTAGGAAATCAGTCTGTGTAAATAAAATACATTTTCTAAATTACATTTTAATTGCATAAATTAATAATTAGATCATTAACGTTCTCAGAACAGCCCCGCCCCCACTCACACCACTGAAGTCAAAGTGCCCCTCTTTGTCCATTTGAAATGTTTGGAGAAATGTTATACAGCAAAACAAAAAGTTATACAAATTGATTTTTTTTTTTAAATTTGTTTTCTGTAAATGTGACAGCAGTCAGAGTGGGGTTCAGGATACAATCTTAAAAAGAAATGGTCTTAAAACTTATACATGTTGCGAAGAACAATTATTGGCTAATGTTTTAATAAGGACGCAGGTCGGTTCTTTCTCAATCTGAACTAGAACTTGTGCAGAGTTAAATCTCTCACTGTAGGAGCTGCAAGAATCTGCTTGTTATCGTGGATTAAGCAAAGTTGTGCAGAATTTGTGCCCTGCGGCAAGAGGAACGAACCTCATAAATACCAGCTGTCTCGGGTCTGATGGGACAACCACAATTATGGGCTTCAATTCCAGCTTGCGTCTTCCATGCTGGGACGCAGTGTTAAAAAAAATAAATTAAAGGTTGTTTAGAAGTAACATTAAATCTATAAAAGAAACAAGGTGGATAATACTTTTTTTTTTTTTTTGTAATCTATATATTTTTATTTTTTTTAAAGAAACTTAATTCAAAAATAAAGAGAATACTCCAAGTACAAATCCCACTACATCCCAAGGGCCCACCATTGTAAGAAGTCAAACCATTACCTGGAGCCCACCGGGCATCTTCTGTATTTTAATCTTTAAGCTCTCCCTTCTGAGCCAGCCTGGCAGTGCAGGGCTTAGCTCATTGGCTGAGAGCACTCAGATAATCTCAGCCAATGAGCTCCATGCAGGAGCTTCTTGCTCTCAGTGGGCCAAAGGTAAGTTGTCGAAATGTTAGTAAACATATTGACTTCTTAAATGGGGGTAGGGGACGGGTACACCAGACTACTCCTGCCTGGCACCATAACCACTACAGTGCACTGTAATGGTTGTGACGCTTTGAGTGTTTCTTTGTTACAATAAATTATTTCCTGTGGATGTCAGTCAGCTATTCCATGCCACGCTGTTCCCCTAACGTGTAGCTGTGTTGGGCAGACTAGATGGGCCGAATGGTTCTTATCTGCCGTCACATTCTATGTTTATCTCTGATTCACTTGTGGGAATATGAACAGCTTTCTGACATCCCCTGACCTGCTCTCGTGACATCGATGGGATCAGGGGATGTCAGGCACCTTGTTGCCGAGTACACTAAGAAGAACAGGAAATGCCCAAACTCCTGCCCTTGGAGTGGGGACTAAAAATGGATGTCGCTCAGGACCCCTATATTTTAATGTGATCCCAGAGACCCCCAGAATTATAGTTGTATTCAGTTAAATAACCACAGGTCCTTCCGACTCCAGAGTGTACTTTTCGTATCCAGTTCAGGTTGGCGCAGACAGAGGGAGCGCTGTTTAGGGAGCTTTTGATAGACCCATTCCCTGGTTTAATATTTATTGGAGGGTTTTCCTGGGAGCTCACTGCGCTAAGATAAAATGGACTTGTTATCCAGCGGTTTCATGCTTTGCTGTGAAACGTGGTACCTGGGGTTAACTTTCTGAGCCTCTGTTAGAGTAGCTTTATGCTGGTAATATAATAGCAGAACAGTCAGTGGTCTTCGTTTTCAATAACATAGAGCCCGGGGGTGACTAGAAAAACCTTATGAAGCAGAATCTCTTCTCTCACAAGGTCACGGCCTTCACGGGGTCCCAGCAGCTGCTATTTGACCTCATTTGGGTCATGAGATGGAGCAGTCACTTTAAGAAAGGAAAATGCTCAAGACAATGATTTCTTTCACTATCTTAAAAACCTACAAAAGCTATCTGCCCTTCAATGAACTCATCCAGTTCAGAAGGCCCCTCTCCCATTCCACCTATAAAACAGCTATCCTGAATGATAAATATAATAATGTTTCTATTTAATCAAACCTTACATTGTATCATGCAAATCACATACCTCCCAAGTGCCCCTATTGAGCTGGGAAAGTCCCTATATTGGGCCCAAATCCCTCTGTTGCTATTTTCTCCCCCAATGTCCCTCTTTTCTAGAAGCTCCATATTGTTAGTATGTCTGAGTGTATAACAGAGCTCCACAGCAATAATACTCCCAGTAACGTGTCTGTATAACATAGCTCCACACCAATAATACTCCCAGTAATGTGTCTGAGTGTATAACAGAGCTCCACAGCAATAATACTCCCAGTAACGTGTCTGTATAACATAGCCCACACCAATAATACTCCCAGTAATGTGTCTGAGTGTATAACAGAGCTCCACAGCAATAATACTCCCAGTAATGTGTCTGAGTGTATAACAGAGCTCCACAGCAATAATACTCCCAGTAATGTGTCTGAGTGTATAACAGAGCTCCACAGCAATAATACTCCCAGTAATGTGTCTGAGTGTATAACAGAGCTCCACAGCAATAATACTCCCAGTAATGTGTCTGAGTGTATAACAGAGCTCCACAGCAATAATACTCCCAGTAATGTGTCTGAGTGTATAACAGAGCTCCACAGCAATAATACTCCCAGTAATGTGTCTTTAAACTGCAATAAATGTTTAAAAAAATCAGTCAGTGTAAATAAGATACATTGTTATTGTTCTAAATTTTAGTTGCATAAGTTATTAGTAAGTCACCTACAATTTCTCCGAATAGCCCCGCCCCTGGCCACACCTACACCCTAGAGCAAACATGTCCCTCTTCTTCGATTTGATATGTTGGGAGTTATGAAATGACTTTCTATGAAGGAAGCTGCTCCTTCTGTCCAACAGTTTATCTGTCTGTCTGTCTATGGCTTTATGTAACACATAAACTACCCGGCACTCTGACTGTGTGTGAAGTAAAGCATTAAGTTGACCCTGGGAGGGAGGCTGCAGGAGGGGATCACAGGGGACATTAGAATTGCTATAAGAATGGTCATGGGACGAGTGACGACCCTCAGTTCTGTTATGGTCTTTTGCCTTTTTGGATGATTTTTACCATGATCTGTGCAGTTCCGGGACCCAATGGTGTCAGTAAGATGCTAGATAGATAGATAGAATATTCTATAGCTTTGATTACAAACTATGTTTCTATATATTGAAGCCTAAAATGTAACTGTCTCTTCCCTGAATGGGACAGTCCCTTGTTCTCTCACCTCAGATGCTACTGAAATCGTTTCTGTGGTGATTAGTGCAGCAGAGTTAAGTATAACACACTTATCATTGCTGCGGGTATACTGACTCAGGCACACACGTGCATGTCACATCTGCCCACACGTATAGCACACGTAAAGCTAATATGCATGATATACTATGCAAACTTAAAACCCGTTGTAAGAGATGTTCAGATTTGGCAAACATGACCTGTGAGGTGTAAAGCGGTGAATTCCGTCACACAGAGGAGTTAAAGGACCAATATAGTGCCAGGAAAACATACAACACTATAGGGTCTCTAGGTCCCCCCCACACTTATGGTCCCCCTCCCGCCGGGCTTTAGGGGGTGGAAGGGGTTAAATCTTACCTGTTTTCCCCTGCCGGGCTCCCTCAGCGCAGGGAACTCCTTTTCGCTGTCCTTGGCTGAATGCGCATGCGCGGCAAGAGCCGCGCGCGCATTCAGCCAGTCCATAGGAGAGCATTCTCAATGCTTTCCTATGGACGCAAGCGTCTTCTCACTGTGAAAATCACAGTGAGAAGCGCGGAAGCACCTCTAGCGGCTGTCAATGAGACAGCCACTAGAGGCTGGATTAACCCATAGGTAAACAGCAGAAAGGGTTAATCCTAGATGGACCTGGCACCCAGACCACTTAATTAAGCTGAAGTGGTCTGAGTGCCTATAGTGGTCCTTTAAGGGTTACTCCAACCCAAAAACTTTGTAGTAATTATCTCTGTGGTGGTCCACACTCCCCCAAATGCCCCCCCCCAAAATTAAAATGTTTAAAGTTACTATTTTTTCCAGCGCAGAGGCCAGATTGAAGCTCGATCTTCCATTGCTAACGTCACTCCCCATAGCAGGATGGGAAGGGAGGTCATCGAATGCAGACTGAGGACTGGGGCAGCAAGGAGCCAACATGCCAGTGCCTGTTTGGAGCCAACATGCTCTGCAGACAGACAAGAATTTTGCATAGAATTGATATCAGCCAGAAACTATGGCTAATGACGCTGGTGGAGATGGAGTTACACGATCGGTGGCTTGCAGGGTAATCTCTGTATGTGCAGCATTTCGAAGCAAAACGCTGCACTTACAGACTCCAGGCACCATGACCACTTCATATTACTGAAGTGGTTATGGTGCTTGGAGAAAGCCTTTAAGGTATACAAAGAGTGCTTCGCTGTTGTTATTCTGCAGCAGTCTGAAACGAGATGCACGGGTCACAGTTTATGAGAACAAATGCAATGGACAGTTCAGATTGCAATTTTCTGCTATTTTTTTCCTGCAGTAATATCACTCCACAAGATGGAATATTTTGGAGCAAGAGATCATGTAGTAGTAATTATGCCGGTCCTAGTGATATGGGGCAACTCTGGGGTGGGGGGAAAGGGCCTGCTGAATGAGCTTTACATCCAGTGGAAATGTTGTGTCCAGATATTTCATAAAAGGCTTTGTAAGTTATGGTATGAACATTGTATCAGTGGGAATCATTTTGTCCAGATTGGAGTTCATCCCTAGAATGTTAGAAAGGTCCATCACAAGATGATTGGGGTGATTTGGAGTTGTCATTCTTTAGCTCCTCAAAGGACAATGTTGGGGTAAGTCTGGTTAAACTCGACTGTATTTAGTGCCGAGGTAATTATTATTATTATTATTATTATTATTTTATATTTATTTAAAAAACCCTACCTAGTTCTTTCAAGCCAGCTTTCCATGTCTGAATGAATCTCTTGATGTAGCTTAATGAAAAAGTCATTGTGTTTAAACACGTGATACTCCATCCAATATGTGTAGGTTGCACAAGAGATAAGGTTCTGGGTTTATTGTTGACATATATTCACAGGATAAAGGTCTCGCTTATCTCCATGCTGCTTATAATGTCAGGTTACTTAGTGATTCTATATTGTGGCTGAAAGCAGAATAGAATTAATAACATAGCCTGAATATCTGACGGGACGGTATTTGTTTAACTCACTAATCATATAAAAGATGGAAAATATACATTTGTGCATTGGACAGACAAGAAATGCCAATATGCCAGGCAGTTCTCTCTCTACGAGAGCCATGGCAACCCCAGACTTTAATCACGGAGTGGCAGCTGGTACCCCACTAGGCATTGTCACTGGGTATCACCCGTCACCCTCAAGGAAAGTGGAATATCATCCATGAATTGTGGCAAGCCACTTAGGGAACACGCATGTCCTGTTTCACCAGTTACTGTTCAGGATTGAACTGCTTTGTCTTCCTGCCAGTACAAACCCGGGCTGTACATTTAATGAGAGAATATGCTAAGTCTAGCAGGAACCCTGCCTAGAGGGTAATTGCTCAATAAAAACACATGCTCCATTTGGTGTTTGATTGGAGGATGATTTCGCATTGAGAGATTTGGGTAGATTTTTGGGCCGTTTTTTGGCTCCCCTGACCCAGAGACATACTCATGGGCAGCAGACCCTAGATTGGTATGGGGGCTGGAGTGCTGCAAAGCTGAGCAGCTGAGATTGGGTGGAGTGTGATGGGCTGAGACAGTCTGATAATATATTCTGGGTGTAGAAGATTCAGAGACAACAGGTTGCAACATGTACATTCTGTATGTAACGTGTTGTATGAAAGGAATGTGTTATCTGTGTCTGTGTATATACTGCCTAATCCTGCACAGTGCAAGCTGTGACAGCCAGAGCCTGAGACTCTCTTATAGACCTGTCCGACCATCTATCTATCCATCGATTCACATATTCATCTTGTTCATTCATCGATCTAGTCATTCACTCGTCCATTTATCTGTCCATCTATATATCTTCTGTGCGTCTATCTGTCCATCCATTCATCCGTCTATTTACTCATTCATCTATAAATCCACCCATCTAACCATCCCCAGTGTCCCCAGATGTGGGCAGTAATGAGGCAAACTGAGAGTTTTCCGAGTTGTGTTTTACAGTGTAATTTGTGCTTAAAGGAATACTATAGGGTCAGGAACACAAACGTGTATTCCTGACCCTAGAGTGCAAACCCCACCACTAAGGTGGCTTGCTCCCCCTTACCTCCTTTAAAAGCATGGAAAAACTCACCTTAATCCAGCGCAGTGCTGGTCTGCCGGCACTGGCTCCGCGCCCTTTGTGACATAGCAGAATGGCCGATTATTTGCCAATCCAATGCTCTCTTTAGGGAAAGCATTGGATTAGCTAAAAACGGCAAGGGGCGGGCCAAATTTTTAATCAATGCATCCCTATGAGGAAAATTCAGCAACCCCATGCAGAGGGTGGAGAACCTGAACGGCAGGGCTGCTTACTGTGCAGCCCTGAGCCAGGAAGCACCTCCAGTGACCATCTGAGGAGTGGCCACTTGGAGGTGTCCCTAGGGGCAATGTAAACACTGCCTTTTCTATGAAGTGTTTGCATGAAAATGCCTGAAGGGAGCTATTATACTCACCAGAACAACTAGAACAACTAGAACAACTGTTTGTGACTAAGTGGCTATTAAAAAAAGACAGGACATAAACCACTTGCAATACCCTTGTCTACTTTTGCAAATGGTATGCCATCATGGTGGTAATTCTCATTCCTGGGCTACCATACGGTCTCAGAGGTAACATAACCAATCTGGCAAATTTCAGTTTGAAAAAAATGTAATGTGCTATATTTGACCCTTTAACTTTCCAAAACACTGTAAAATCTGTTAATGGGGGCTACTGTTGTACACGTGAGACATCGTTGAATACAAATATGTGCATTTTATTGCAGTGCAAGCTAACCGTATTATGACATTCACAGCTAAAATGTCGGGCGGAACTACAATTTTGTTTTAAAAATCTTAATTTCTCAGTTTTTACAATTTTATTTATAATCAATTATGTTTCATATATGAATAGTTCATGCGAAATTTCTATTGACTCTGTCCTGAAGGGGTTAAAGTCTTCATTAAACCACAACATCACTTCTTGTCCATTCCTCTATCTAGATAAGAAAACTTAATAAAAAACGGTGCAATAGTGCAATATGTGTACTTCTATATCATTATGTTGATTATAATAACATATAAACAGAAAAACATAGTGCAAAACTTTATAACTAGCAAATCAGTGAGCCAACATCGTACTAGCACTCACAAAGGCAGAGTGAATAAAGGACCACTTTACGTTTTCTAATCTAGATTCTAGATGTGTGTCAATATCTAAATGGCTGCTGCACAGAAATAATGAGTTTACTTTATATCACTAAAATAGTGGAGTTGTTGTACATACATTTTTGAGCATGTGCAAATAAGTTTAATTTACATGATATATAGAATTTTTTTGTGCCATTTTTTTTATCTTAAAGGGACACTATTGTCACCAAAACAACCTTAGCTAAAATAAGCAATTTTTGTTATAGATCATGCAACTTAGTAGTTAAATCACTTTGTTTATATAGCCCTAGCCATATCACCCTGCATGTGACTAACGCAGCTTTCCTAAATACTTCCTGTAAAGAGTCATCTAATGTTTACACTTCCTTTATTGCAAATTCTGAATGTTGTCTCCGGCTCTGTCAATAGCTTTCTAGACCTTACAGGAGCCTCGTGTATGTATTTAAAGTTTAATTTACAGAGTAGGGGATAAAAACTTATAAAGCAAGTTAACATCTGATTGAAAAAGAAAAAGAAACCATTTTGTTTCCATGCAGGCTGTGTCAGTCACAGCCATGGGAGGTGTGACTAGGGCTGCATAGACATAAACAAAGGTGATTTAACTCCTAAATGGCAGAGAATTCATCAGTGAAACTTCAGATGCATGATATGTAGACCCAAACTGCTTCACTAAGCTAAAGATGTTTTGGTGACTATAGTGTCCCTTTAATTATTTTGTGGACTATTTCTCTATCTGATTGTGTTATTCTCTATATAGAAACATTAATTAATCTAACCTTTATCTGTATCTAGGTATGTTTGACTCCCTCTCTGTAGATTTGCTTCCTTTCTCTACTTTCCCTAGGGGCGGACGCTCACATATTATTACAATACAAAGTAGGTCAGTCCATATAATGGGTCTCATTGTGTCTGTGTTTCTGTCAGGATGGGCGTGAAGGTGTTGCAGTGTTTTCCTTGGTCCTGGAGAAAAAAGGAGCGAAAAACTAAACGGAGTGAAGAAAGTAAGTAGGGAGGTGGTTATAATGAAATACTCTGCTCTGTCAGGGGAACAATGTACTGTCTGTCAGGGGGACAATATGCTGTCTGTCAGGGGGACAATGTACTGTCCGAGGAACAATGCACAGTCAGGGGAACAATGTGCTGTCTGTCTTAGGAACAATGTGCTGTCTGTCTTAGGAACAATGTACTGTCTGTCTTAGGAACAATGCACTGTCAGGGGAACAATGTGCTGTCAGGGGGACAATGTACTGTCTGTCAGGGGGACAATGTACTCAATGTACTGTCAGGGGGACAATGTACTGTCAGGGGGACAATGTACTGTCAGGGGGACAATGTACTGTCTGTCTGAGGAACAATGCACTGTCTGAGGAACAATGTGCTGTCAGGGGGACAATGTACTGTCTGTCTGAGGAACAATGCACTGTCAGAGGAACAATGTGCTGTCAGGGGGACAATGTACTGACTGTCAGGGAGACAATGTACTCAATGTATTGTCAGGGGGACAATGTACTGTCAGAGTAAAGAAACTGTCTGCTCAAATAATGGGAATTGTATGAAGCAAATCGGGAAAGAGTAGAACAAAGAGAGACACTGACCAGAGGACAGAGAGTGTATGGAGCAAAGAGGGACACTGACCAGAGGACAGAGAGTGTATGGAGCAAAGAGGGACACTGACCAGAGGACAGAGAGTGTATGGAGCAAAGAGGGACACTGACCAGAGGACAGAGAGTGTATGGAGCAAAGAGGGACACTGACCAGAGGACAGAGAGTGTATGGATCTAAGAGGGACACTGACCAGAGGACAGAGAGTGTATGGAGCAAAGAGGGACACTGACCAGAGGACAGAGAGTGTATGGAGCAAAGAGGGACACTGACCAGAGGACAGAGTGTATGGAGCAAAGAGGGACACTGACCAGAGGACAGAGAGTGTATGGATCTAAGAGAGACACTGACCAGAGGAGGGAGTGTATGATGGGAGATAATCAGTGCTTAGAGGGAGTATGGAGCAATAGGGCAGACTAATTGTAGAAAATGGAGTGTATGGAGCAAGAGCAGGGTATGTAGGAAGATGTATATGGAGCAGAGTCAATAAATGTGAGTGGGCTTTAGGGAGAGTAAATGTATAGAACTGAAAACAAAGCTGTTTTCAGTGTGTAGGGTGAATATTGTTGTCCTCACACCTGTCTGACCTCTTCATCTTCCTTGTCCATTATATCAGCTGCTCCTCAAGCTCCCCCTCCAGAGAAGCCAAAACTCCAGTCCACCTCATCAGTGACCAGTGATACGGACTCACATCAGAAAAGTGCTTACTTCAGCGGAAAAGCCAGAGTGTCCTTTCGTCACCAGATGGATTCAGCCATGTTTGCCAATGACTCTACCTTCTGATCTGTACTAGAGAAGTGAATATTACAAGAGCAAGATATGGACATCTTCTCATATTGACAGAAGAAGCGTAGTGAGAACTGTTACTGTTTTTGGAGCCAAACTAACAAAAATAATGGCTGTACATGAGCCTTAGACATAGACGGACATCGTGTTTTATTTCCCCCCATTCCCTGATAACACAATATGTAGATAAGAGGTCTATTGTTGATCACTTGGCCGACTTGCCAGGTTGGTTTCTCTTTTAATAAAGCTGATGCAGGAAAGTGAGGAATGTGCCATGTTAGTACACACATGTACCAAGTATACATCCATACTTGGCCCTCTATTTACAATGAATGCCAAAAAAGCAGCGTATTTAGAACCATTCCAACCACAGCTGGTTGGCACAGGAACCTAGACTAGATAAATGTATCCATTCTTTATGTTGGACTTTGTAATGTTTATCAGAATTGCTTTGCACCTTGAAATATCCAATCGCCTGCTTTATATTTACATTTTTCAGTGAATTGAGTAGACATGCTCCTACACACTGCGTTCCTATCTAGGAGAGGGCTTGTACACCATATATGAGGCCTTATGGGACATATCTCCTTATATCGTTTCATATATTGTTTTAATTTCCTAAATCACCTACGTGTACAAATGGAAGATAATCAGTATTGGCTAAAGGGTCCGGGTTTTATAAAGATTATCTTTGTAACAAATTCAGGCCTTGGCCACTCACATATAAATGCTTACAGGGAACACCGGCGAAGGGTAGTAGAAATGGATGGATCGCAAAAGTATCACACCAAAAACTCACTAACTCCGTAGCAACTTGGGAAACGTACGAAAGTTTTGACAAAACTATTATGGAGGTCACACCAGTGTCATTGCCACCAAGTGGTCACCTTTAGTATTGCAGCAACCTTCCATGGTCAGACAATATTATAGACGTCACCTCCAATGTTTAGGTGTTGCAGTGGCCCCCAGAGGACACATTAAATGTTGCATTTTATATCTGCATTTGAAATACGTTAGTAGGATGGGGACAGTATTTTGGGATGTCTGTGTTGCAAAGTTAGGTTCAGCATTTTAGGTTATAGCTCAGGAAATACTTGTTAATCTTGTGTGGTTATTAACTAAGCTGTGAATTGTTGGGTATTGACCAGGGAATTCCAGAATTCAGGAATGAAATAAAGGAAAAGATATATTGAACAACTTTTCTTTCATATGGGATTGTTTGATATAAAATTGGAAATTCCCTGGTCAGTTCCAGACTATTGGTTATTTAGTAATAAACCCTGTAGGTTTCATTCTTCTAAACTTAGAATTGTTGTGAATTGAAAACCAAACTGATGAACATGAGCCAAAATAGGAAAAGTCAGAAAATGGCAAAACTGATGAATTCTCTCAACGTATCTATTCTAGACTAAATTGCACAATATGGGTTTCAGTTCTACACAATATATTAACATGTTAAAAAACATTATTTGAGTTGCAATAATTATCTGTTAATGACATGTAGTTTTACTGAGTTTTTGTTTTAATGTTCACACTGTAGTTTGGCATTTACTGATACTTTTTTATTCTTGTATAAATATATATCACTATATATAATGTTCAACATTTTATATACACACACGGAAACACTGTTTACTATGGCTGTATATTTTAAATATTGTTCTTCCAATAAAACCTATTATATGAAATGTATTGATCAGCTTCTCACGGAGACCTGTAATAGCTAACTGTGGCACTGCAGAGGCTTGCTAACTACATTTCCCATGATTCTCAGCTGGCCTTCTTGCTGACCATTATGTGAAATGCAGACTATATAGATATACAGTGCCAAAGTTATTGCAGCCACAGACTGACTTCAGAATATCAACTCGTCTCCATTGCTTATTAAATCTGTCCTCGAGCTGGTTTTCAAAACCTTTTAACCAGTCGTCACTAGTGCCATGTTGGTGTGGATGGTAAGGATTGGCATGGCACTGTGAGATATAGGTATGTGGGCAGGGCCGGTGCAAGGATTCCTACCTCTACATTCTTTCAGAGGTTTATTTACTAAACTCTGAATTGCAGTGAAGAGACACTTAGTGAAAGCAGATGTACTGGGGAGACATTTAGAGAAAGGAAACAGACCGGAGTGACATTTAGGGAAAGGAGAGAGAGAGACTGTTGAGATATTTAGGAAACAGATTAGGAGATATTTTAGGAGAGAGAGACCATGACATACTCATGCAAAGCGTAAGAAAATCCAGCGTTGTTTCACTGAGTTAAACAACATGTAAATCGAAAAGGCACCTCTATTGGCAATCTGGTAGACAACCACCATAAGCTGTGTTAACCCTACAATGTAAACATTGCAGGGTTAAGGGGGACGGCACTCTGCACCCAGACCACTTCAAAGAGATGAAGTGATCTGGGTGCCTATAGTTTCCCTTCAATTTACATAAGTCAACTTGTCTGATGGGTTCATTTTACGTTAAAAAAAATCTGTATAATATATTACATATAAATATAATTTAATATATAAGGATCTATTTACATGGTCAGAAACTCTCACACTGTGTCACTTACACACTTACTAACACATGCATTCACTAACATTTAGACACGTCACTCACACCAGTTTACATAGAGGCACTCTATATTTACACACACCAAAAATATTCCTCTTGAAAATGCTCCTCAAGATATTGCACTCTGCCATGTGCCTATAACACTCACACATTCTCCCTCCAGCCAACCCATCTGAACATATCATTAGTAGGATGTCTGCTCAGCATCCAGTACTGAATGAGAAAAGTGGGCTTTGTTTGTTAAACAGTGATCTGCAGTAAACTAAGTTACAAACGACCAGCTAAAATAACTAAACTGAGTATAGCGGAGTCTGCAAATTGTTCCAAATCAGCACATTTTGCAGTTCTGATTGAATCAACTACAATTGTGGATAATTCACAAAGTTTGTGACTCATCCGGAATGCTTTACTGTTGGACGTAAAGCAAAATGGATACATGTAATCTCCAAAACCCGATATCCCCTATATTTCTGTACAATATTAACAAAAAAAATAAAATAGAGTAAATTTGCATAATTCAAATGTTTGGGTATACCTGAACATCAACCTAGACATAAAATATGTTCTGTGCTCAAAACATTCCATTTCCAATAAATGCCCCATTTTGTTTTCTCATAAAAAGTAGTGAAGGAGTTTAAACAAAGTATTCTAGATGGGGCACACACCACCTGGCTTGGAAGTTTACTAGTGATTGTATTGCCAAACGATTTTAAAACGTTTCAAGATTTGCCAATATTTGTCACGGACGCCAACTAAGGTGAAATTACGAGCCTTTTCAGCCCTGGAGAGTACTTCTTATTCAACACATCATGGAGGATCAGCACAGATTAATAAAATATTATACCAGGTGCAAACCACTAAAGATAGGGGGGAGAGAATGGTGAGTCAGTCGTATATAATATTACTCTCTTTAGATTACCTGATTAAGTGGGTCCTAAACACAGTGAAGGAGTTTAAGC